CATAAGAGGGCATTCGCCGCACAAATCATTCGTGAAATCTCTCCACTCGAATGGCGTATCTCTAGACTAATAGAAACGAAATCTCACATTCGAAATAGAAGTTTTATTCGCTGCTCCGTCGCACAGCTCTTCGCCCCGAGGGACAAGGTGTAGGTTATGGCGTGAGCACCGGCCCTCGACTTCCTCACCCCCGGGTCGAGAATGAGTGGATTGTGGAGCGTAGATTCCGGCCCTTCGGTTTCACTGTATGAGCTGACATGCCCCGGCTGGGAGTCGAGGTGGGGAATTTCGCGAGAGCCCAGCGGATTTCGTCGTGCTCGCGCACGTGAGGGAGATCGTACTCAGTCAGCAGTTCCCAAAAAGAGTCAATGCCTCATCAGCTACGGGTCGGAACAATGAAATATCCGATGTGCTCCGTCGCCGCAGCGTATCCAAGCAACCTATGAAAAGAGAACAGGAGTTTATCGACAGCAATTCTAATCGAGCGTCTAGCTGCGTTCTCGCTTATCGGGCCAAAGTCTTATCCGAGCACATGTCGCGGCCTGCTTTTTCGGGGGAATCTTGGTTCGAGCATGGATATCGAAGCCAGGATATCTCGGTTCGTGATATAGGGTGGATCCAGATGGGAATAATTTTGATGTGAACAATGACTCGTTTCCGATAGACTTTAGGCTCTGTCGGCAAGTAGCCTGGACAGGGTGATTACGGACGTCTTACGCCATGCTCGGAGGAGAATGTCTTATGCCTCCAATTTGGAGGACTGAATTTCACAGAGCTCCCGACGAAGCCTCATACTACGTAGTGAGTTGTTATCAATGTCCGTCCGGAGAATCAAGTGGGCTCGATTCGGTTCCCTCGCTCGACCTCCGTAGCCGTCTAGGGCAGAAGAAGTTCAAAGCTTTGGAAGTCTACCCCCGACTTCGAGGTGTCGTTCGATGCACCCGCAGCAATTCATTCTCCCTGAAAGTTCGGATAGGAAGTCGCTTTTCCGGAGGGGCACTGTGCGGAATCAGTGCGTGTCACACGTGTTCTGGAGCGGAGACCTTTGCTATCGACAGCGTGATCGAGGGCATGGAGTTGAAAGTGAATATTTCACCAATATCTTGAAAACGCTACAAACTTTTGTGCAGACTCATAATCACTCACCACTTCCGGGATATACGCAACTCGTCGCTTTTTGACTGGAGCCACCAATGTGGGTCAGACCAGGACAAGTGATAATCTGAAACCACTCTCTTCGAATACAGGAAATTCACTCGACCGGAAAATGACGGATACACGCCTCTGAAGTTTCATTTTCGCATCCGCACGCTCCATCTGATCCGAACGCTCATGAAGTGTCTCGCCCATATCTTACACTTCCGCATCAGCCGACTTTGTTTTTCGAGCGCGTAACATCTATGACAGCTCTGATCTGGTGATCCGACGTTTTTCCCGGAAGAACGGGATATCACGCTGAAACGGACGCACGCGTATTCAAAGCGCTGAATAGCGGGGGCTGGGAAATTTATCAAAATCGGGACCCGGCAATCGAGACATGCTTTGGAAGAAATCGGGATTTCAGCCTCAAGTCTCGAGCTAAGAGCGGCAATCCGCACCCTCGATGATGCCCCAAGAGCTTTAAGGAACAATATCTACCGCACATCGACCAAACGGTGAGTCTTACCGCATCGATTGCTTATGAATTCCAGAGCTGGGAACAGTTCGCAATCGTTCTCGATTGATCCATTCAGAATAAGAACGTCAGCGAGGGATTACGTTTGCAAAGCCCCTTATGAATACATCAGCATACAGAGCCCAGTCTTGTTGACTAACCATTCGGCGCGAGCTTATTAATGCAGCTGGCGCTCAAAAGTTCGTATTTGAAAATCGACATTGCTTGAGGCACATTCGAGGTTGAGCCAAGCAGGCGATCAGGTTTATGACGTCGAGACTTTGAGCTGAAACTACGCATGCTCGAGTTGTGGGTTTCTATAGAGGAGGATTGCTCTCCGTTATCGTTGAAGCGAAAACATCTTCGATATCGTTCGGATCGCCAGACGGATGAGTTTCATGCCCCATGTCATGTAATGAAGTCTTGTCACACTTAGGCCGCTGGATCTCCGCTGTCACGCGACGCAGCTCGGCCGGTAGCGTATCAAGAAGTTACATATTCATAGGAGACTCGTCCTTTCGATTTTCCGTAGGTGCAATTATAGGTGGAGGGGACTCCGCACCGCTTCTTTTCGGCGTAAACGAGAATGCTATCAGCCGAGTATGCTTTTTCGGGCTGAGAAGGCGCGACGGAAGTCGGGCCTAATAACTACGACGGACAATCAGCTTGAAAATTCCATGATCTCTCGCATCGGACTCCAACAAACTCACCATGAAGCCCAAGAGCCGCAGTATTCGGTCACGGAAAGGCGGGGTCCTAGCAGCGAGTCAAAGGCGCGGGGCGCGAGAATCGGGAAAAACCATCCCGCTCTCAAGATTGGGGGGGGGTTCAAGCCTTTCGTGAACATACATCTCGTGACGGAAAGAGATCACGGATTGTAGTCCTCCGCAAATGGAGAATATCAACCCACGTCCACGTACGTGTATCATCTATCACTGCCAGGAATTCCATCCGGACCAGAAATTGCCGATTTCAGGGTTACTCATGGGAGGGACTCGAGAGTGGGTCTTCAGATTCTGACTGAGTGAGTGTTAGGAAGTCTCAACTCTCAGGCTATCCGAGCCCTGGCGAGGAGGCAAATGACTGACTTGAATAGCGAAGAGTGTCCTGAACACGATGAATGTATCTGCGGGGCGAAGGGACACCCGTGGAGATATCAATAGACATGGAGAGGCGGAGGACTCGGTCTTTTCTTATCGATGTCCGACCGAGGGCTCATTTATCTCCTTGGTGGACACCCTGAGCACAGAAGTTATCCGACGACTCGCATCTAGGTATGTACAAGGTTAATGCGGGAGGAAAGAATGGATGCGTTACTAACGTCGATAGTATAGTATAGTACGTCGATAGTATGTATTCCTCTATCGTCTCGTCGCAACGACCCGATTTTCATAGGCCCGAAGAGACCGAGGCGCGCACCTACCAGGAATAGAAGGAAACCCCTTACACCCCTTCGCTCTCGCAGCTGTCCGATTCAGGCTACTCTTATCCACATACACACTTTGAAGGTATAATAAATACATTAGATTTACATCCGACGCAAATGCTTACGGTATCGGCCCTCGGTATGCAAAACAGACCTCGATTTATCCATTACTAGAGCCGAGTCGCCTCTCCTTTTGGATTAAATGTGGGATGAGTCGTAGCAATTATCGCAAACTCGTGGCCTCACCTCAGGGGGTTATAGCTTGGGAGCTCTCATAATAGAAAGGGAATGATCCCGGAGCGCATTCAGAGACAGTGCACCAAAATTGCTAATCGCCCATGAGTTCGGCTCATACGAGATGACTCGCTCGATCTTCGCGGAGATTTTCCCTTGTATCGAGTTCGCAGGCCTAAATCATGTACACGAACCGCGTCTAACAGGAGGGTCATCCCGAGCGAGCGCACTAGCCGTTGAAGGCGACATCGAGCCCTGAAGAATCCTTGTTTCGGTCAACATTCCACTGTGTCCTCCTCTCGGACCACATTCTCTGACGCTTCTGTGGTAGGCATCAGATGATTCTGGCAAGTTCCAGAGCAACATTTTTAGCCAGATGAACCGATCGTCTGCCCACAAGTGTTTGAATAGGATTGATTTGGATCCGGATCCCTGTCTTCTACCATTGTGCTCCTTGAGCGAATTGCGGTTTGCGTGCGGGGTGCGAACACGGGTGCGACGGACACGAGGGCGCTGTTACGAATGGATACGAATGTCAGGATATGTTACGAGCGTCATGGCTCTAGTTGTCGCGAGCTAATGAAACGGGATGCCAACTTGTTGATCACATCGCCTGTTCGTTGAGTGAGTCATGGTCAGGCTGTACTCGGCGAATCGGTCAATTTGTCTAGCGCGAATATCGGTGCTGAACTAATGAGAACGATTCCCGTGTGCTCGCTTGGGAATCGAGGCCGTAATGCTACGAAATTCTGTATCGTTAGCCCGAAGGTGTCTCTCCGAGGACACTAAGGGGAGGCATGGGTGATCTCAATCCCGTATTCCTGTTCTAAAAAAGTTCTCGAAGGTTTTCACGATCTCAATCGAGTCTCGCGGGACACCCGACACAATCTCGCCAGACCTTTATTCTGTTGCGGCCCGAACCTCGATCGACTCGTCAGCTTCCCTCCCCCCGGAGCTTCTTGGAGCTCGACAGCGTCGGACATCGCAACACGGGACGTCGTGGATGAATTCGGAACTATGAGGACTACTTCACGCTCGAAAGAGAGCATGCTCATTAGCCGATCGAGGATATCGGCGTTCGAGACAGAAAGTTTTCCAAGCTCACTACCGCTACGAGTTTCAAGCAAGCGAAGCTTTACCCGCCTCCGCTCCGCCTGAAGGAGCAAGACCCCTCGGCGGAATCTCCTCCGTCCGTTCCGCTGATTCGTCCTTACGAATTCGACGGAAAGCCCTCAACCAGACGAACTCGCCACGCAAGGTCTACCGCTATGCGCCAGCCCAAGGGTCTTCGAGGAGATTCTGCGGTCCGAGAGGTATCCGTTCCGGAGCTAACGGAGCTCCAATCGAAGTCCGATGTCTGGCTGTATCTGGATTGTTCTTGGAGGAATCTAGATTCACGATACTCGAACTCCTCCGACCGCGGAATCTCCGCAGCTTTTTCTAGAGATGCGACGCTTCCCTCGAGATCATCCTTCGAACATGATCGATATGGTCTTCAGACCTACCCTGTACTATCGGAGAATAGATACCCTGTGTCATTCTCCGAGGAATTGGGACGGCGGCGGGACACCATCCTGAAAACCACTGCAAAAGGACCTCGAGCGAGGAGTGGTAGAGAAAATGCTCTCTACGGAGCCTCTCTCGGGCTTCAGATCAACTGATCTCGACAAGGGTCCAATGAGCTTAGAGCACATTATGTCCGAAGTGCAAGAATTCATTTATTGGGGCGATCCTCAGCTTGAAAAAATAAACAGTTTCTCGACGGGAAATCTCAGCCGCGCTTTCGGCGCGAATCGCAGGAGTTGCTTCACAAGAGCTGCCGACCAAATCACTGTCCACTATTCGACCCCGCTGCGTTGCTCAGCTCCATCCTTCTGTCATTAATAGTCTTCTGTAAACTATTGATGATGTCTTTCTGGATTTGAGACTTCTTCCCGAGGTCTTTCAAGGCGTTCTCCTGTCGTTTCAATTCACCGTTGATGTAGTCGATTCTCTTCTGGACGTTTTGCTTCGAGTCGTCCAAGTTCTGTGTGATGAGGACAGGGCCGACGAGTTTGAAGATCTTCGAATCGGCACCGACCATGCTCAACTCTGAGTAGACCGACTCGTTCTCAAGGAGTTGAGCCTCCAGAGTTTGTCGAGCTCCTCGCGCTTTCTCGAAATTCGTCTGCAAAGTTTTGTAGGACTCCACTTCGTTGATCAACTTTTTGTGTAAATCCTCCAGCTCTTTCACTGCTGCCGCCGACATTTCGCACCGTGGGATGAAAATCAGTTGCTCCGAAATTGGACTTCTCTAACTCGCGTGTTTTGACTGCAGTCCTTCCGACGTTTAGTTCGATCCGCTATTTAAGGTGGGCTCGTCTTGATTGCGGAGCAGGTCCAATACTGACCCATCTTGGATGGGTAGCGTCTCATTACATTCCAGATCCGAGGAGGATATCAATTAGTCATGAGAGGAGCAACTCCTTGGATTAGCGTCCGAGTATCCTCTCCTCAACCCGTTCGCACCACGAAGGCACCACATGAGCGCGGAATGAGAGCGGCTCAGACAGAGTCGTTCCGAGAATTATAAAGTGTTGGAAGCGGCTCAGTTGAATGTATCTGCTTCGCGCTATCTCAGGCATCCGGAGGAACGACCTCTGCGTTCGTTTATTGAAGTCTAGGAGTTTCTGCTGCACCGCCAAGATGTCGGCTCAGAACGCTTGCGTTCTCCTCGCTCATGGATCCGAGGAGATGGAAGCTGTCATCGTGATAGATGTCCTGCGCAGAGCCGGGGTGAGAAACCTTCACCCACGAGGACCGCGGCACCAGTAATATTCATTCGGGCTGCTTACCGCTTTCCCGATGCCGATCCTCGATTCCCTTGCTCTCGGCGATGCTCGTTTTTGAAATCACAGGACGACATTCTTCCACAGCTTAAAGTAACCGTCGCCGGCGTGGATGGCACTGAACTGAAGTGTAGTCGCGACATCGTCATCAAAGCTGACAAGAGCTTGGAGGATGCCCGCAAAGAGGCAAGTTAGATCGCTCTGACAATTCAATCGCTTTCGGTGCTATCAATGATCATTATCCGAAGCGTCCAGGATATGCAGAAGGGAGGCAGCCCGTCCATAGGTCAACGGAGCATTCTTTCTCCGCAGAAGTTCGACGTCGTGGTGCTACCCGGTGGCTTGAAAGGCTCCGAAACTTTCTGCGCGGTGAGTACTCGAGACAGTCATCCCCTGAATGTTCAGGAGCTCAAAGAGATAAAACTTGCGGATTCATTGATCAACTCTTGTGGCGGCCTCCTAACGCGAGAATTCCTGTCCCAAGAATGCCAAAGTCGGAGAAATGCTAAAAGAGCAAGAATCATCTGGACGGACCATCGGAGCGATCTGCGCTGCACCGATGGCTCTTGCAGCTCATAACATCGGCAAAGGCAAGAACGTCACAATCTACCCATCGATGGAGAGCAAAATGGTGAGACATCCCTGAGCGTCTGATGCTTCGTCGGTCCGGAAAGTCGAGCTTCGACTCTTGTAGACCGAATCCATTCGATTCTCTTCCTCACATGTCTATTCCTTTGCTCTTCATTTCATGCGAAGGAGGGATACACTTGCAAAGAAGATCGCGTCGTCGTCGACGGGAAATTGATCACATCTCGGGGTCCAGGAACAGCTTTCGATTTCGCATGCACCCTGGTCAGAGAACTGCTCGGTGCCGAAAAAGCGCAAGAGACCGCGAAGCCCATGTTGTACGAATTCAAATAAATTCATCGTTCTAAAAGTTCCTGAGAATCGAACTTGACTTTTCATTTCCACCGCGAGAAGGCCGGCTCTGTAGTTCTTTTCGAACTTCTTCCGTCCCCCCCCCTACCTCCCGGCCGGATTGCGTGAATACGGTGACTTCATTCAAGCAGGCGAAACTCGTATGACTCTTTTATTTGAGGGGGTCGAAAACATCGGAGCCTGATAGAAATGAAGTCTTGTTCCGAGAGGAACTTTGCGGGAGATCGAATCCATGGCGATCCTTCAATTATTGCCCACGTCTGAGCCCCTCCATCGAACTTGCTGGAAAGCTCAGTGGTCACACGTCGGTACGGTCCAGCGGTCTCACGCATACTTCATCAGATATCCTCGCGTTGGGGATCAAGGATCGGCGGAAGAATGCGAAGCTCACATAACTCCTTCGCGGACCCTTGTAGCATGAGCTCACAGCTGGTGAAGGAGTGAAGCACGCGCTCATGATGTCGAACTCTCCCAGCACTACCCAGACGCCCCCCTCTCCATCATACAAATCATCGGGAGACGTCACCTCAGAGGGTGATTCCCCGTCCCCGTCCGAAGAGGAATGAGACTTTCCCTGGCACGCCATTTCGTGAGAGATGCGGTAGAACTTGCTCGCGAAGCGAGTCACATTTCCGAGTGAAAATCGAATCCTTCGTAGTTCTCCCACCGAGTCATCAGTCAGGCGTCGAGGAGAATCGGAGGGTTGAGTTCTGCTAACCTGTCATCTCGGTAAGGCAGCCCCGAAGTCTTGACAAATTACATATATCCAAGAGCTGAGCGTTGATGAAAATTTATCGACGTTTTCGGCCTCGAAAATGAGCTTCTAGCCAAGGTTTCGCGGCCTGTGGGAGCATTGCTGCTTGTCTGTCCCATGGGAGGCACCGAGCCAACCCTTGTGGAGGGCAATTCAGAAGTGATCTCCATGAAAGAAACTATCGGGAATGCTTCCGAATGCATGGGACTCCTACAAGCAATCGAAAACTTCCAAGCAACATACAACGAGAGAAGTGCTTCGGATTATGACGACTGCCAGAGGAAGGTCTCCTGGAGAGATGCCGAATCTTCCGGGAAACAGCCGTTATTTCAGCGAGGTTCGTTCAGCATATTGGGAATGTTTCGCTGTCGGGGACGGGAACCGCTCTCTTCAGATTCATGCCTGCGTCGCCCGGGAGGGCCAGACTTCGACACCGAGCCTAGAAGAGAATGTCGATCCCCATTCCGTAGCTCTCGTGCCAGTGGATGATCTCGTCTTCGAGCTGGGCGGTTCGAAAGATTTCCCCCCCCCCCGGCATTGGTCCTCAGACGAGGAGAACTCCCTGAAGAGTGTGAGTTTGCAAAAGTTTTATGCGAAGGATACCCGACGCCCTCAGTTTCTTCAAATAATAAGAACGCTTTATTCTCCAGTCATTGGATTCGGGGGAAGGCTAGATGTCGAAGACGAAGATTCGAGTCGCGACATGTCCTACTTCCCTACACGTAGCTGCCCTGATTGTACCACGGAGATTTTGCCCCTAACAGAATTCCTCCGAAAGTTTGATCGTTGAGCGGCTCTCCACGGCACTGGTCTTGGGACAGAACATCCTGCTGAGTTTTTTCAGATCCCTAGACAAGAGATTGATTATATTAGGAATTTCTTGATCGGATCAACGATAGATCATGAATCATCTGATCTGATATGGCGGCAGGGATTCGGTTCATCGATCGTTTGTCTCACATCCTCGTCGTTATGGCCGTCATCGGGGTGAACTTCAGGTATTTCAAGACGAGTGGGGGCGGGAAAACGAAGTTGTTGCTCCGATAGGTGAGCGTTATGTGAGTCACGCCTTCGAGAGGGGTGTCTGACGTTATCAGGTATCGGTACGCCGCCCCTGGTGTGAAGTCATCCCCGCTGAAATGAAGAGCAGAAACGAGATATTTCAACTATTTCTCGGCGTCGAAAGTATCGGGACGTCGCTTACGGGCTTTTATCGAAGATCCGAGCCATTACGATTATCGGATATGACAACAACTCACTTTTCTTGCCTCAGCTCAAAGCTGCGTGGTTTCTCTCCCTCCATGTTGATAGTGATCGCAACCTCACCCGACACCTCTCGAGCATACTTGTTCTTCGAGTCCCTCAGCATCTTCAATTCGACATTGTAGTGATACAGGCAGAAAGGACTCGTAGGACCCGTTTTGAAATACATACGGACAGTGTCGTTCAGCCTCTCCGTGAGTTCACGTTCGTTCCCTCCACCATCCAAGCTCATGACGGCACAGCGAGAACCATCGCTACCACAGTCGGAGCAGTAACCTCTTTCGAAGACCTCATAGTTCTGACAGGCGAAAGCGATCGGAAGACATTTCGAGTTGCTAGCCGAGTTTTCAAGAAAGGTGGTCACGTAATGGATTGCGCGCATGTGATTACAGGCTCCGACGATTCTCAGGCCCTGGAAAATGTTTTTGTCCTTGAGTTGGATAAAGCGACCCTTCACGTCGCAGCCCGGCATTCGTTGGCCGCCGTTGGGATAGAAATCCACGTCGCCCACAGCAAGATCCATTCCGAGACCGAATCGAGGCACGAACGAAGTCGAGTCCGTATGAACGACTTCAACGAACTGAGCGTCGGTTCTCGAGAGGCGCGCCGGCGGAGGACAGAACTCGAAGAGCGGTTCAGCAGGATCGAGAGCTGCGTATAAAATTGGAGTGAACGTTCAAAACTTATATTCTGTTTGATCCCAAGAGCCCACCAAAAAGGAACATGCATCAATGTATCGTCTTCCGGTCATCTAGAGCCAATATAAGGGACGTGGGCCTTTGGAACTCACAGGTTATCCTCCCCAGAGTTCCGTTCAACCATTTTCCGGCGTAACCAACAATGTGTCCACCGAGACTATGTCCGTATGCGTGCACAGAAGATGGGGAAATTCCAAACGTATCCTGGAATGTAGAAGAGATGGAGATATATGCTCTCAGTGCGATTTTAGGGCGGAGGCGGAGTTTCCGGGTCGAGTTTCTTTCGGGCACGAGCGATCCATGTATCGAGAGTCCAAAGTGATACATATTATGATAAAGTATACCATCAATTTGGAGACGAGGAGCCCAATCTCGGCACCGACAACTCGAGTGTTCACTGAGGCCTTCGTGTAAGGCAAACCATTGCCCCCGGTCCAGTCCACGAGGATGACATTGAAGTCTCCATTCCGCAATAGAGCGTCTTTCATGAGTATCATCCATCTCCCTAAGAACACATTGTCGGTCCAGCCGTGTACGATTATCTGAAGAGGTTCGTATAAATTTGAAGAAATTCGCGAAGCGAAACCAGAGCGCTGCAGGTCACTCGAACTCACCATGGTGCGTCTCGAAGCATCAAACGTTGTATTTCGGAGGGTATCCGCTTTGATTTTATACCCCGGTATCGTCTTGGCATCGGTGGAATCCCGAGAGTAGAACAGAAACGAAGTATTTATCGTTTCTCGAGAATCGGGCGACGGATTCAGCGGTCTCTGGGGACAGTCCCTCAGCGGAATGCATCCCAACTCTCCCAAGCAAACCTCTGAAAAATCGAGGTGATGTGCATCACGGAAGGAACTATGAAAACAAGAGCTGTATCGAATTGAATCGAGCGTCGGAGTGAACTTTGGACTAGAGCGTCGGGCATACGGTCATCGCTGGCATACGCCGTGAAGGCACGGGCGCAGAGAACCGCTAGCACGAGAGCCTTTTTGGCCATCGTGCTCGCTGTCGAATGTCGATTTCTCGAGGGGATTCCTTTGTCATAGTGTGCAAAATCTACGCGAGACGTGTTATCGAGGGATTACGCGAGCCAAAGTAGGGATTTCCCGGGAAGTGAGCAAAGTTATCCGCATTCACATTGAGTCAATTTCGTCGATCCACGACATTGATCCACGCCTTGAACGCCTGTGGATCAACGCGAGGACCAGCGGCCACAACATATGTATAGCGATAGTTGAACTCGGGATCAACGAGAGATTCCAGCTCGTGTTCAAAGGGCGTGGGCCCGATCCCTGATGCCCTCAGAATATGCAGGCATCTGGGCTCTATCCCACTGGGTAAACAGGCTCCAAGCATCTGTCTTCGTGAGCAAGGTGAGGAACAGTGCCCGGAACATTGGACTCTGGATGCGTGTTAATTCCCGGAAAAAATCGCGGCTTGAGGGAGAGGATGTGTCGCGCCAATTCCAAAAAATAGGTTTCAAAATCATAGAACTCGACAAACGAACTTCGCCGGCGCGAAGACAACGCCGTCGAGGTAGTTCTCCGTCGCGTGTTCTTCGCATCATCAAAGTCATTCCTCGGCTATCTTTTCCACCGCAAACTCGATTGGCGAAACACTATCAGTCACGGTGAGACGATACACATTCCGGAACTGTGTTCCATGTATGGATGCTGAGAATTGCCCACTTTCCTCTGCTTGACGAGCTCTCGGGTTGCTGCGTCAACAGGCATCTAGGAACCCATCACGAAGTTTTCTTTGAGCATCGATGGCATTCAAAAGGCGGGATCAACACATGGGTCCTTTCCTGGAAGCCTACCGAAATTACGAGCTTTTAAGGAACCCATCGACTCCTGAGTGCCGGAACCTTCAGCTGCGCGAGAAAGCGCTCTCATGTATACTTGTCGACCTGAACTTGCAAAGAGTGACCGCGCAAGACATATAGCAGAAGATTGGTTCCGACTGTATTGGTTCCGAAATGCCGACTCATTCTTACGCTAGCAAAGAAGAGCTCATCGAACTTGAGGGTGAGAACGATGGCCGAGTGGTCAGTGCGCTATGGTGGCACCGCCATAATGCGGAGGTCCCGGGTTCAATCCCGCGGATCATTTCGTGGTCATTGTTGAAATGAACGACAGTGAAGATGGTGAATCTCAGTCCCCGTCTCAGTTCGACCCCACATCAATCGAAACTTCACCCTCATTAATCAAAGAAGCATCTATCCTCGTCTACAGTAAGACCTCGCTTATCGCGACCTCATTCATCGCGACCTCGCTATATCGCGTTTTTTTTCCCGAGAATAAAATTATGGAAACGAAGAATCGCCGCGCATACTGCGAGCAATGCCTGGCGTAGTCGTTAGAATGCACGGAGAGGTGCCGCCCGAGGTTCCCGAGAGATTGATGCGAGCTCTGAAAGTAGAGACGGCACCTCAGTTGGCGGGAATAATAGAGTTGGACTGATAGAAGGAGCCCTAATTTATATGTAGTCTATGAAGCGTACAGTCTCAAGAATTGTGCATTGTGACATAGTAGCTTACCACAGAGACTGGTTGTTCATGAAGTAAAGGATAGCTCTTTGAACAATGATTGTCCTCTATTAGCTGAGAGCGTTGGAGCTCCAAGTCGGAATACCACATCCCAGAATTACCGAATCCTTCTTACCAGCGGGAGATGTGGACGAGGGATTAGATGTACTCGGGGTTCTTAGAAGACGAGGGTCAGGATGAGACGAGGATCCGGAGTTACGCATACAGTAAGACCTCGCTTATCGCGGTCGATCGGTTCCGGAGGCTTCCGCGATAAGTGGGAATCCGCGAAGAAGGATTCGGTAATTCTGGGATGTGGTATTCCGACTGGTTGGGTATCAGATGCCCGACTCTCAGATGCCCGACTCTCAGATGCCCGACTCTCAGATGCCCGACTCTCAGATGCCCGACTCTAAGATGCCCGACTCTAAGATGCCCGACTCTAAGATGCCCGACTCTCACATGCCCGACTCTAAGATGCCCGACTCTCAGATGCCCGACTCTCTGATGCTCGGTTTTCAGATGCGTGGCTTCTCAAGCACCGAGCGCACGACGCCTTTATAGGTGCTGACGCACGTGAATGCTTCGACGTGCAATGCAGGCTCCAGCAGCAGGAAGAGAAGGATCGAGCCACTATGCTGCTCCTACGAATTGGCCAGGACCCTCCAAGAAAGCGTAAAAAGTATGAGAAACTGAACAAGACGCTAATGAAATTTGTACAGCAATATGAATCCAACGAGATCACTCTAATCGAATACGTCCACTCTGTGGGCTATAATTTGCACAATTGACTCAGGTAGGCTTTCTTGTTCCAAGCGTACTCAAGTAGCCTTTAGTTGCGATAGGTACATGATGTGACACCCGGATACCAAATGGTTCAGAGCGAGGAATTGTGAAAATAAAGTAACCGCTTCTCCCTGAGCAAGAGGGAGGAACTATATCGATTTCCAGGCATCCGAAAGCCCGTTATTAGAGAGTCGGGCATTAGAGAGTCGGGCATCTGAGAGTCGGGCATCTGAGAGTCGGGCATTAGAGAGTCGGGCATTAGAGAGTCGGGCATTTGAGAGTCGGGCATCAGAGAGTCGGGCATCAGAGAGTCGGGCATTAGAGAGTCGGGCATCTGAGATGGTACCCTCCCGCTTCGTATACGCACTCCGAATCCGCTTCCTAGAATCATTAGCACCCCACATCTCAGAACTCGATAGATACGGTCAACCTCAAGCATAGGTACTCTCCTAAAACCCTTACTCCAGAAATACGTATATAAGAACTTGTAGACTAAGAATAAACCACTGTCCGCTATCCTGTATCCTACCATCAATCCCTGTGTATTTCATCACTACTTCTCGTGCGGTCGGAACCTCTACTCTCGATCAGTGCCAGCTCCTGACTAGGGCACAAAAAGCTTGGAATCACAAATTCTGACACGTTATCAGCCAATCAATCAGTATGTCACGGCGTCCTCGGAGACGCGAAGCTGTCGACCGCGAGATAGTTGCGTGCGAGGTCGTCGACGGACCGCAGGTTCTATCGTTGCGCCGAAGCGGCAAAAATGAGGAGGAGGCCGCGGCGAAACGAGAGCAGGCTGAAAAGGAAGCGCGACGGAAGGCTGTCTACGACCAGTGGAAATCTGGGATCGTGCAACAGCAACAGAAGCAGTCTTTGGTGGAGGATATCGTGAAGGAAGCCAATAAACCTCTGGCGCGCGCCGCAGACGATGCCGATCTGGAAGAACGATTGAAAGCGGTAGCCAGAGATGGTGATCCTATGCTTGCCTTCTTGAAGAAGAAGAAGTCATCCCAGGCAGGACCGAGCAGACCCCGGTACAGTGGACCTCAACCCCCTCTGAATCGCTACAATATATGGCCGGGATATCGCTGGGATGGGGTGGATCGCTCTAACGGTTTCGAAGCGAAGATGATGGCGATGAAGAACGAGAAGATTGCTAACGAAGAAGCAGCCTACAAGTGGAGCACAGAGGACATGTGAACTCTTAGAATTGACTGGAATTGAGAAAAAAATCATTATACATCTGTGCATATCTGTGTATATCTTCGTGCTGATCAATCACGACTTGATTGATGACTTGATGACTTGATTGTGGACTTGATTGATGCATTCAGTATCTCGACGTCAGACGCATCCAGCCATTGGATCCTCGACTCGGGAGCCTCGAATCATTTCTGCGGGTGTCTTGAATCATTCTCAGACTATGAGATGCTTCAGACTCCGCTTGAAGTACGAGTTGGCGGCTCACAGATTCTTCGAGCATGCGCGACTGGCACCGTAAAGCTTGAAACAGAATCCTTCGGAGAGCGATACATTTTGGACCTTGATCAAGTCCTCTTCGTTCCGAATCTCCGTCGTAATTTGATTTCGATGACCTGTCTCTTGCGATCCGGCTGGACCGTGAAAGCGAATGAGACACGCATCACTCTCAAAAATTCGTTAGACGCCTTTTCCGCATATATCGACAATGGACTCATGATAATCAACGGCACCCCTTTAAGTCTTCAAAATAGCCTCAGGAGCTAACACTTCTATCCTTGCGAAAAACCCAAACTCTTCAAGAAGCACATGAAGTTTTCGGACACATCAACAAACAAAGAGACACACACTGATGAAACAGGGATTAAAATTCAAGAACGATAATACCCAATGTGAATCATGTATTCAAGGCAAGCTCAATAGAGCATCGTATCATCTGAAACCTTCAATGACAAGGCCTCAAGTGCCAGGGCAAATAATTCACACGGATTTGTGTGGCCCGATGAAGCCATCTCTCGGCGGATCAAAATATTTCATGAATCTCTACGATCAATACTCTCGCTTCAATAAGCTGTATCTCCTCAAGTCGAAGGATGAAGCTCCGCAATATATCATTCAATACATTCAATGGTTCGAAAATCAAACGGGCAGAAAAATCAAGGCACTAATGTGCGATGGAGGTCGAGAATTCATCAACTCCAAAGTTAAGAAAGAGCTCAACAGAATAGGAGCAGAACTCATTGTGAGTATCCAAGAACAAGTACAACAAAACGGAATAGCCGAGAGAAATAATCAAACGATCACGAAACTTGCGAGAACAATGCTCATTGCAGCTCAATTGAACCATACTCTCTGGGCAGAAGCGTGCCAATGTGCCGTCTATCTCTTAAATATGACGAATACTTGCGAGGCGACAGGAAAGTCGGCCTTCGAAACAATATATGTCACAAACGGACACTTCGTTGTGTTATCCGTTTAGTGGACAAGCACACTCACACACTTCCATGCACACCACAGCCGAGCTAGGTTGAGCGCAGCTTCTTTCAGACCATCATTGGATCCTGTTTATTCGATACCTCGCGGACTCCGGGGAGTCCTAAGTCGAGATATGTCAATAAATCGCTAGCTCGAGCGACGGCACCGCGCAGTCTACCCAGACGTACTGCTGGTCTCTTTGGAGCACTCTCCCTCGGGAGAGAGATCCAGTTGTTGATAGCCAGCGATACCACACACGTATCGTCAA